ACCTGGGCAGTCCTATTATACCATACCATACGAGTATAATTCACTCAGTTTTAATTGCAATTAGCGTAAACACTTGCCGTTCTTGCATTGTCAGTGTACATCAGACTATCATTTATTATATTAAATTAATATTGATGGCAATTAATTAAATTGATAGAAAATATTAAAACACGAATGAATTTAATCATAAAATTTATTTTACTTTAATTTCTTTTTAGAAATGTTTATGAAAAATGTAGGAAAATATTGGACACAAAAAAGACAAAAACAAAACACACAAAAAGAGATTTTTATAGATTTTGGACACGAGTTTGAGTCCCAATTGGTATCACATGAATGAATGAATGAATGAATAACTCATAGAAACAAACATTTTGTGAAACACTTGCAGAATATTTATAACACAAACATTATATCAGTTTTGTAGTAAAATATCGTATATTTCTAATCAATACTCAATTAATTTGTTTATAATCTCTATATTCATAGAAAATATTTATACCGTAAATACAAACGTGTTTTGAGCCCTACTTTCGGGACTTCATGCGAAATAAATTAACTTTTTGTCTGAAATTCCCAGACATTCATATCAATGCAAACTTAAGCGCAAAATAAATGTGTTTTTAAATAACAATTCACACATCGATTGTAATTAAACTATTCATTCAAATAAACTTCGAAATCAATTATAATATGAGAGGAACGGGCGGCCAGTTGTGCCTAAGTATGAGAGTTGTTGTGCGCGTTATGGCTGCTGAGGGTTAGGGTGTTGATCGACATCGGAGTGCATCTCGTGGTCGCCCTCCCCCTCCCCCTCGCTGTCCGACTCGTAGACCAGATCTTGAGACGTGTCCTCGTCTTCATCTATATCTCCGTTCATGTAATCAATAATCTTCTGCCACTCGTCGGGATCCTCGGGTTTGGGCGGCCGGGGATGTGACTCGCCTTTTGAGATCATAGTGTCGGCCATCGCGTAGTACTCCTTCACTAAGGGGTCGTCTTTCGTGTCTATCGGTGCCGCTGCGGCCGCTGAACAGGTGGGCGCCGGCGATGAGGTACCGGCCGCTGCCGTCCCGTCGTATACGATAGAAATCTCGTCATCTATGGGACCGTTAGGCTGTTGGCTGAGCGCTGGCACTACCGATCCCTCAGCGGCGCCACCGCTGATGCCGTACTCCGCCTTCAACTTCAGCAACGACTCCAACAGCTGTTTGTATTGGAAAGTCGAGGGCCGCAAGTGGTCGCGGAAGGGGTCGCTGCACGGCTTGCCATCCATGTCCTGTCGCGACCTAACGGTGCTCTCGAAGTACGGGTAGTTCTGTCTGAACGACGCTATCATCACGTCTTTCAGCATTTTAGGCATATTCTTGGCGTCCGTCGAATTGGCGGACAGCATACCGACGACCGCCACGCGTATCGTCTCGTAGGCTATGATGTCGTTATAGTCGCGAACGCACTGATCCACTGATCGGCCGCCGGCGCGACCGAACCCCAGGGCGTGCGACAGACCCTTCCGCTCCTCATATCCCGGCTCATTGTGATAGGGCTTCTCATTCATGAGCGACTGTATGGACAGTAGTGTCGTGAATAGGGTTACGGCGGCTGTCCAGGGAGGGCCTAATCGCACGAACAGTACAGACAATTAGGCGTGTGTTCAATGGATAGCATAGAAATTAGTGAACAATAAAGCACAGGTAGTTAACACACACACACACACACACGTGATCCATACCTTGCCACGTGCCCAGAATGCTGAGGCATACCTTCCCGCACGCGTACAGATTGGGGTTAAACCGCACTTTGCAGGCGTCCGTTGTGTGGAGCTTAACGTTGGGCGGTTTGATGGGGTAATCGCGGCCATACCTACGCAGAGCACAGACACCCAAAAACAACAAAAAACAGGAATTAAAACTCAAACTCCACGTCAAAACTGGGGGGTTAGACATCCCCCATAACACTGCAAACTACTTGAGCGTGAAGTAGAAGAAGCCCTTTTCGTAGGGCGTGCCGATGGGGCCGAGTATGAGTGCGTGCACTTGACTCATGTCCTCCTCCTCGCACACGGCGTACAGTTCCCGACTGTCCTCCCGGTAAAACTCGCGGATGTCCTTTTGGATGCGCAGTATATGCCGCTCACTCATGTGCGTCATCTCCCTGTCCAATAGCGGGTCAGCCCCACGGCTACCGTTCCTCTATGACTGTGAGTGAGTGAGTTGGCTGTCTATAGCGAGACGTCGAGACAACTGCCGGTCCTGTGATGGGAACGGGAGATAAATAAGTGGTTGAAGTATAGTGTAGTGTTGTATGAATGAGTGGTCGCGGACTCTGTGGCCGCTAATCACGTGATAAACACGTGCTCTGAATGTGTGGTCAGTTTTGGTGGCGATTTGTGTCGCGATTTTGGTTACACATTGGGTTTTGCTGTGTTTTGGCACTCATTATGAGCCGGGTGCTAATCGCCGCATAAACGTTTAACTAAATAGCCTGGCTAACACCCACTTGTCATACAATTTATATTTTACTCATTAAACTATTGATTACTGAATGAATGGACACAAACACCGGACACAATTGAGCGCACATTGAAATACCATAATTAACCAGGTTAATTACAGGCATACATACCTGGCTAAGAGTCCAGTGGGCAGCGAATGGGGTGGTAGTGGCTAATTGTTTGAGCTCGACGTGCGACAAATAATCGTTGGGTTTGTAATGTTGTCCACAAATTCAAAAGTCAGTCCCAAAACAAACACTTCGTTTTCGCAGCGAAAATGCCATTCAATTGAATGCAAAACACACTGTATTTGACACTCATTTCAATGCAATGATGAAACTCACGTTCACGCGAGTCGCTCATCAATGACGTACACATTTTGGGTAAGATTTTTGAAGTACGTGTTCACACTTTTACTGGTGATTGCCCATTCACTGATTGTTTATTTAATTTTGTATCGATTTACGGGCTATTTATCGGGGCTTATAATATCAAGATATAATTTTATGATATGTTTTTAGCTGAATAATTAAAATAGTTTAAGAAATTATAATTCCTAGTTGTATAGTTTTTTTGAAGTTATTCAAAATAATAGTTTTTATATACTAAACTTAACATTAGACTTATTTGATACATTAATCTCTATTAATACAGTAACTGTTAATGATATAATATTCTAGATTTAATTTTTATTTGACTAATTATACAGAACTATTAAGTATTATTAATTTTATCATATTTTATCATATGGAAAGTCATATATTTATTTGTCTATTAGTTGACATAAGTTTTGATATTGAACTAATTTCTACTGTACCTAACATTCTCAATACTCGCATGTATTTTGCATACCTGTGCTCAGACTCGTGCACCGGTAAGCAATGCTCTTGTTAATGATTCATTAGAGGAATGGTATATAAGAGTTAGTATTAATAACTTGGTAACGATGAATTAAAATAGTTAAAATTTTATTAAAAGTTTACTAAAAGTTTTAACATCTCATAGAAACTCACACTAAAAATTAGCATAAATCACGGCTAATACCAGTCCCCTTTCCATACGCCCCCATAGATTTGATATGACTTAACAAATCAACTATTATAAACATCTTTGTAGAAACGTCAGGTTCCTTTTATAATAGTGTATTGTCTTTTTTTTAAACAAAATATATGGTTCACAATACCGGTCCCCCTGTGGAGTGAATGAGTGCCTACTGTTCCCTCCAATAGACTTCGAAAGCCTCGCACTTATCGCTGCAAATCATAACTGACCTCAAGATGTGACCTCACATTAAATGCCTTCACATGTATTTCCAATGCTTTCTACAAAATAGCGTTTATGTTATGACAGGTAGGGATGGGTAGCGAAGGGAACGGCATTTTTGCAGTAGACATACACTGTGTCTGATATCTCTATAGTAAACGCCGAAAATATTTTGCATATTTAATCCCATATATAGTGTACACTAAACTAAATTAATTTAAATTAAAAACTTTACATTAGTGTCCAAACTGTTCACATCGATAACTAAACGCACGATAAGTGTATCTAATTTGTTATCAAGGTTCATACTAACGGGGATATAGTGTATGTCGAAAATATTAAGTGCGATTGCAATCAAAAAAACTTCAATAAGTTTTTCTGCCATTCATTTCCAATCG